ACTGCTTATCCAAGAGCTGACAAGTCCTAACGGGCCTCATTTTCCAGAGACAAAAATAACTATTTTCAAAATTCACAGCAGGGCCTTCGCCTACACGCGCTGCACCAAGAGAAACCTGTGGGGAGAAATGTAAAACACATTGTGTAAATGGAAATGCACCATGCATCCCAAACGCTTTTAAAGCTATTTACCCTCTTTCATCCTCATCAGCTCTCCCCTGGGCACACGTATGCACGCTCGCACCCCGCCAGGGGCGTAGGGGCACGGCTCTGTGCCGGCTGCCCCGGATCCTGAGCTACCCAGACCCTGGCAATCGCTCCTGGCTCCCCAGGACAGGTGGGTGATGAGGGGATGTCCCTCCCTCCATGGGCGCACTGCCGAGAAAGCAGAGCCCATCTGTGGCACAGGGACGCGGCTCATGGCACTGGCAGGCAGGAGTGGTCCCCGTTCCCTGCCACGGCTTCGAAGTCCTGCAGCTACGGAGCAGCACATCAGTCTCTGGAGAGACCTTCTTGAGATCTTCCTTCTGCTTCAGGCTCAGCAGCAGGGACATGGGGACAGGGACAGCCCCAGCATGGGGAAGGGGTGGTCAGGGGTGGTTGGCTGGTTGGATGCATAGGGTGCGTGGGGAGGAATGTGGGTGCCTGCAGCCGTGCACAAGGTGGGTGCAGCCAGGCAGAACTGTGAATGAAAGGGTCTGCTGGGCGGCTGACCCATGTGAAGTCTGACAGAGCTTGAGGCAAACCTGCCTTCCAAGTGAGGGGCCGTGGAGAACCATCTGTCCTCTGAGTGCATCCACCCACGGCTCCATGGGCCAATTTCTCCATGGGCTGCTCCCAACTCCCCAAGCCAGCAGAGAGGAGAAGCCATGGTCCCGTGTGAGGTCCCTGTATCAGCGAGGCTGAGTCTAGCCTTGGCGGTCTCAGGTCGGACATCCATTGTCAAGAATCCATCCTTCCACAAAGGAGTATAATAGAGAAATACCATGGTCTTGGGTTTGGGGATTCCCAGAGCAAAAGCAAAGAAGGCAGCTGCCTGGCAGGAGCATGTATATACAGGGAAACGACGAGGGACAACCTGCAACAGTCAATACTTAAAGCCTGTGATTGCCTGCAGAGTCCTTGAGAAAAAGGTCTCTCTCTTTGGAAAGAGCTGTGCAGGGGCCAGCCCACCTCCCCATTTGTCCCTCTCCCTCGCTCCCACCCTGTGGTGCTGCCATCCAGATCTCCACCCTGGACAGGCTGGGTCGATGATGGGGGACTCTCCCATCAGATGCGGTTGGACATGAGCCTGGTGTTCAGTTTGCGGAAGAAGGAGCGCAGCTTGCAGATCTTGCACTTCTTCTTCTTGTTCCTACTCTTCGGGGGCTCCCCGGTGTCTTCCCACTCGTCCGTGTCGTCTTCGCTGGCCCAAGGTCCCCAGGCGCCACCATTGAAGTCTGGGTGAGCCCGGGGGTTCTCTGCGGGGTACCGCACCGGGATAGCTGTCCGGTTGTAGTCCACCAGCCTCATGAGGAGGGTCCTGACCACATCTGGGCGCTGGTCCGAGAGATCATAGCGCTCGTAGGGGTCGGCAGTGATGTTGAAAAGCCACACAGACTTCCTCAGGCCATCGGTGAGACGCTCCAGGTTCCACCAGCTCCCTGGGAAGTTGGTCAGGGTCTGTGGTGGGATCCAGTCACTGTACCCTGGGTCACCAGTGAGGAGCTTCCAATCCCTGACCCGGATGGAGGCTTGCACGGCCGTGTTCCAGATGCCAAAGCCATCCTCCAAGGACCCATACTTGGCGTGGTTGTACAGGGGGTCAATGTTGTGCAGGATTTCAGTTCGTGGTGACTCCTTGCCCTCGCTAATGGCGGGCCAGACATTGTAGCCATCCAAGCCTGGGACATTGCTCAGGTTGCCCCTGGCCAGGGTAACCAGAGTTGGGTACCAGTCAGTGATGTGAACCAGTGCCCAGCTGGTCCGACGCTTGCGCTTGATCAGCGGGCTGTGGACAAAACCGATGCCACGGACTCCACCTTCCCAGTACGTCCCTTTGCGACCACGTAGCGGCCAATTGCTTCCCCCAGAGAAGGTCTGCCCACCGTTGTCAGTGGAAAACACGATCACGCTGTTGTCATAATACCCATACTTCTTGAGGGCCCAGGTGATGTTCTTCACCGCCTCGTCCATGCAGGTCACCTTTTTTTTCAGGTCACCATGGCGGCGTACTTCCGGCGAGCGACATTGCCCATGGAGCGGTAGCGGTAGATGTACTCCTTGGGCGACTGCAGAGGTGTGTGGACCGCTTGGAAGGCCACGTAGATGAAGATGGGCTCCTTAGGGCTGTGGGATGCCAGGATCTTGCTGACGCGCTGGGCGTAGAGAAAGGTGGAGTACTTCCCACTCTGGTCCCAAGCCACATCCTCCCCTTCGTGCAGGTCATAGCCACAAACACCCGGCCCGTCGCAGTTGTCGTAGGTGTAGTAGTCCACGTTGCCTGTCAGGGAGCCCAGGAAGGTGTCAAAACCCCGGCGAGTGGGCAGGCACTCCTTCTTGTAGAAGCCAAGGTGCCATTTGCCAACCATGTGGGTGGAGTAGCCGGCTTCCTGCAGCTTCTGGGGCAGGGTGACCTGGTCGAGGGGCAGGCAGTTGGGCTGTCGAGGGCGGATGATGGAGTGCTGCAGCCCTGTGTGGATCTGGTACCTGCCAGGGAAGAGCCAGGAGGAATCAATGGCGATGGGGAGGAGCACTGGTTGGGGACATGGTGGCACTTCATGTACATACAGCCCTCCGTGTCACGCAGCCCAACCCCATGGAGCAAGCTCCATGCCAGAGACTGGGAGATCCTCATCCATCCAAAAGCACCGAAAGCAGATGCAAAAAAAAAACACCAAGCAGACATCTGAAAAGCACACTGGGCTGCTTTCCCAGAACACCACCAGCAGCTGACCCTGCTGCTGCCAGCCCAGGGGAGCTGGCTGGGCTCTGCCAGGGCAGGGCAACAGGAGCAGGAGTTGTGTACTGATCCCTAGGGGTTTGTACTGCCCCACCTGGGTGTCCTCCCCTGCTTTACACACCCTGGAGATGCCTGGGATCCCTCTAGAGCCACCAGAAGAGAAGCCTTTGCCTGGAGCCCAGTGGGCTCCACCACCCCCAGGGTAACAGGTAACCACATCCATAGGCACATCCCTGGGGCCCACATCTCATCAGTGGGAGATGATCTGATGAGATCTGCCTCCTGCAATGAGTGCCGACCTCCCATCCCTGTTTCAGGGAAAGCCTCATCTGTCCTAGGAGGCAGAAGGGCCCAGGATCAGGGGAGAACTGGTTGTGCTTCCACAGAAGATGATGATGGGCCAGCATCCAGCCTGCCCTGGCCAGTGCATCACTGTATCACTGCATCACTGCATACGCAAGCAGAAATAGCACAGTCCAAAGGACTTACAGACACAGTGGAGAATGATCCTCCCACCCCACAGCCCAGCAGCAAATCCTCCAGGGCCAGTGTGACAGCAGCATGGGGCTGCCCTGGGGACACAGATCTTCGCCCAAAGTGACGTCCGTTAGCTAACGGCATCCACATTTTTGGCCTTACCATGTGCTGCTACTTATTTCATGCAAAAATCAACCATTTACTCAAGGAGCCTTCTAGAGAAAAGCCACAAGATGCCTTTCCCTGGAGGATCTCCATTATCTGCCAGTACACTGGGGCATCTGTCAACAGAGAGCTGGGGTCAAGCCCCGCAGAGCTAAGGAGGGGATGGAAGAAGGGGGGGGGACACACTCGGGGTGTGAGCAGGCACTGTCTTACCTGCCGGTTATCAGCTGGCTCCGCGACGGGGTGCAGATGGGCTGGATGTAGTAGTTCTCCAACTTAACACCCTCCGCTGCCAGCCTGTCCAGCGTTGGTGTCTGGATATCCGAGCCGTGATACCCGACGTCGTGGTAGCCCTGGTCATCGGTCAGAATGAAGATGATGTGGGGTGGTCTGGTGAAGGCGGGTGGCAGTGATTTCTCCATGGGGTCTGTGGCCACGTCAGCCACCAAACCGGGCTTCATCCAGTCCCAGGATAAATAGCCAAAGCTGAGCAGGCTGACAAGCGAAAAGCCCGTGAGGGCGTAGACGGCCATCCCGGAGCACGATGCGCTGCCTGCCAAAGGAGCTACTGTCCCAGCATCGTCTCGGAGCCACGGAAGCAGGAGGTGTGCCCCTCGTCCGAGAGAGTCCCCAAACCTAAGGGACAGTCCCCGAAACCCCTACAGCCGGTTTTGCGGGAGCAGCTCCCATGAAGGCACACTCTGGCGCACACAAAGAGCTTAATCCGCCGGGGCCGGGTTGCCTTCAGTCAAAAGAAAATAACCCTCGCGCCGCTCCAATCAAACACATCTGCACGGCAGGACGGGCTCCTTGCAGCGATTAACGGCAGCCCCAGAGCCACTCAGAGAGCGTCCCGAGCGCTAGAAACACTCCCTGGCTTCTTGGCGTTTTCTCGACAGTGTTATTTCTTTACGAAGAATCCCATAAAAACTTCTCCCAAGAAAGCAGCTGGCTTCTCCTCTGCGGCAGCCCTCCCCCTGCCCAGTTATCCGGACGGCTCGCCCGGGATACGATGATCCTTTTCTTTAAACTCTTGCGGAAGAGGGTGCTAAAGTTCAAGCCCAGGGGTGCCGAGCTCTCCTCCTCACTCTCCGGGCAAGAGCCGCCCTCTCCTTTTTCCCACCCTCTGCTCCAAGGCAGAGAGTTCCAACATCTGCTCCGGACGCGGGCTAAGCCGTCAGGTTTATGGGGAGCCGCAGGCTCAGCCCCTCCCAGCTCAGCAGCTCCAGGAAAAAGCTGGGAAGCCCCGGAGTGCAGGGTCCTAAGCATGGTGTTCCCCGAGCCACCAACGCTTCCCTCCCCGAGACGTGTGACACGTGGGCCGGGGTTCTGCGGTGACACTCGGCTGAAGTCCCCACAACACCCAGCCAGGGAGGGCAGTGGGGAGGGCTGGGTGTCCGGTAGGGATTGTTGGGGCCAGCTGCCTGCATTACCAGGATCATCATCCAAATAAATTCTGGCAAGGGGAAGCTGCAAAAACTTCCTGGGACACCCCTCAGTGTTGAATAAAACCACACAGGAGCATGCAGGGCCCTACAGAGTGGGGTGGGTGCTGCTCTGCCTATTTTCCAGGTGGGGAAACTGAGGCAGAGAGGGGTCATTTGTACTGGCTGTGGCCCCGGCCAGCCAGGGGCAAGGTTTGGTGTGGACACCTCTGCCAAGCCAGGGGTCTGAGCTCGGGGTACAGGGACAAGGGTCCAGGTCTGTGATCTGATGCTTCAGGGAGCTTTTGGGGAGAGATGAACTTCTGCTCCTGTGTAACTACTTTCACGGGCCAGCATTCGCTAGGCTTTAGGAAGCCATGACTCCTGGCACGCATCTCACCCCCTGGGCTTCCCCCAGGGCAGGACTTGGCCCAAGAGAGGAGATTTTAGTAGCACAAACCCACCCACGTTCACCCACTCCCGGCAGAGCTGGGAGCTGAGCCCTGTGGCTGTTTGGGCACTGTCCCTTGCAGTGTACCCGTGGGGACCCGGGGGTCCACCGATATAGCCCCCCCTGCCCACACACCTTGCCTGCCATTAGGACTGCAGGGCTGCAGCGGGGGGAGCTCACCAGGGGCTTTGCAGGGGCTCTGCCTGCATTTAAGCAAGGGCTGGCTCCCAGAAAAGGCAAAGGGAGGGTGGCCTTCTCCCTTCCCAACTTTAGACACAGGCAGAGGGAACAGGGACAGAGTCAGGGGCTTCAGGAGCACATGGAGGGCTGCAGAAGGCAGGGCTGGATAACTGTTTTCTGCGCCTTTCCCTCCTGGCAGAAACCCCTGCTCGCTGAAAGGAGCACAGCAGGGCTGGGTCAAGCCCTTCAGTGAGGTTTGATTAATCCCCAAGGGTTCATCGCTCATTTCTTCCACCCGCTCCTCTTCTGCCTTGCCCCCAGCTCCTTCCCACCGCTCACCCGTCTCCTGCACGTTTCCCTCTTCTCCGCTGACATCTTTAGTTCTGAACAATTCCTTCCTCTTGGAAAAATCTAGACCTGACTGAAGGGGAATAGATGTGGGAACTGATTTGGGACTCCCAATTCCTGGGTCCCGTGTGCTCCTCCACTGCTCCCAACGGACGCCTGCAGGCTGGGGAGACCTCTCTGTACGCCCTTGAGCTACCTGGGGCTGCAAGACACCCCGAGCATCCCGACCCATGGCCCCAAACACATGGCTCCATGCAAACCTTGGACTGGAGACAGAGTTATCATAAGGGATTATAATCACAGCTCTTTCCAAATAACAAATAATAGTCAGTTTGGGTAAATATCACAGATTAAAGAGGAAATTGGAGATGTCATGGCTGAGACGAGGCAGAGAAAGTGTGTTTAAGGCAGAACAGACAGCTGATAAACTACGTCGTGTTTGGGGCTGGAGGATTAAGCAGGGAGGGAGGTGCAGGAGGGGGCAGCAGGAGGGATGCACTGACCACAGGAGCAGGGCTGGAGCCCACTTCCGAGGAGCAAGAGCAGAGCCAAGCACTTCCCAGGTGTGTGGATTTGCTGCTGCAGCATCTCCTGCAGCCACATGGTGGGTAACACCCTGCTCACGCCTTCAGCAGTGGAGGCACAGGCTGGGAGAGTCGCCCTGAATTTAATTTGTTGTCAGTGGCTGGAGCTTAGAGGCTTGAAAGGAGAGAAGGAGCCAACAACAGAGACACATGGCAGCACAGAGAAGGGACCTTCTGTGCCCGGCCAGGGCAGCCGCTCAGAGAAATCAGTGGTGGGTCCAAGCTGGCCCCAGGTCTGTGGAGGAAACAGTGGGGTTAACTCAGCTCAGGGAGCTTTTCCAAGAGCCAAAGGGTGAATAGTGAATTTGTTGGCAGTGACCCTGCTCTGAAGGTTCAGGGACAGCTGGCTGGGTCCCAGAAGCACACAGACACCTCTCAGGGGGATGCACAGCTGAGGTTCTCCTCCAAGAAATGATAAAAAGGTGACAACACGCAAAGTGCACAGGGAAACTGTTCTAGATTCCAGGAGAAAGGGGGTGCAATGGGACCCAGGATGAATGGGGAGCAATTTCAGCCCCCTTGAAATTGTCTGATGGGGAGGCAGGAGGTGGGAGCGGCTGGAGGGAGGAGAAGGAAGAGGAAGAAATGACAGCTCTGGATTTTCGGGGTCAGGACGATTTAAGCCATCTGCACGGATGCTCTGAGGGTGATTAATGAATCATAAGGTCTAGGGACAGAAAAATTGCTCAGGGCCTGCAGCCACCCCCCCAATCCCAGCTGCTCTTAATTCAAGGCAGTCACTCGTCCAGCCTTGCTTAAAGATGTCTCAAGAGCCAGGAGCTTCCTTGGAGAGCTCCAGCACGTTGCACAACCGAGAGGTTTCCCCTGGCAGCTGGCTCGGCTGTGGATGCTGAGCCAGGCGTTGAGCCCTGCCTGCTTACGTCCTGCACCTGCCCGGGCGAGGACAGCCCCGCTCCTCCCCGCCACATCAGCTGCTACCACAAAAGGTACTGAATCTCCCTCCCAGCCTTATCTGCGGTGGTTTTACCAGTTCAAGGCGATGGGAAGCCCCACCGGGTGAGCTGGGTGCTGGCTGTGGGACCAGCAGTGGCTCTGTGAGCACCCGCACCCCAAGTGAGCTTCCCCAACCCAGAGCATCACCCGCCCACGCCTCAGCCCAGCACTTCCACACACCTGCGGGCACTTCCCGGCTGGGACCAAGCTCCCCACGCTGAAAAATCACGCAGCAGCCAGGGTAAAGCCATGAGCCAAAGGCCAATATGCATCTTTTTGGTGCTTTTTAGCCTGGCAGCACGAGCTGTGAGGCAGCAAACCCCGACCAGTGCATTGGCCAGGTCGCTGCATGTCCCTGCAGCTGGCACAGCTCCTCGCATTTGCTCAGCTGGTTCTCTAACCAAATATTTGAATATTATTTTTTTTCTTTTTTTTTTGTTATTAATTTTATATGGCCTGGGGGCAAGAATGAAAATAATCACAGCCCTTCCTGCTTTTTTCTCCCCACAGCCCCTCGGCTCTGGCCGCACTTGCATTTTGGCTCCAAAAGCGCTTGCAGCAAACGGGGTTATGCAAACAGGCTCCGCATATTTCTCAGCTCTTGCGATCTGCCATGAGGGCCACACAGCAAAGTTAAAACTAAGCCTCAAATCTTTTTTCCTTTTTTTTTTTTTTACTCTCCCCCTTTTCTTTATTTTTTAACCCTTCCTGGGGCCGGAGCCCCATCAGCCCTCAATACTGCCTTTCTCTTGCCATCAATGGGGCATTATGGCAGGGGAATTATTGAAAGCAGAACTCCCAGGCTTTACAATGGGAGCTCTGTGCAAGGCAAATATTGCACAATCTGTTTGCACGCCACCGGCTCCGTGCCCTTCCCCCTCGGCAGCCCCGCTCACGCCTCGGCCTCCGGCCTGCTGAAACAGCACCTTAAAAAAGAAGAAATATGAAAGGTTTTTAATAAGTCCCCTCCCTCCTTCTTCAGAGCAAGACATTTGACCTAACAGGGCATCAGGGAGCCAAGCTCGGCCTCGAAAAAACACAGCGCGTCGCTCTCGCCTCTTAGATGTTTAAGGGTTTCCGCTCTCCCCGGCCAACGTGTGATACATGTACTTTTTTTATGGGCACGATGAAAGAGCCTAGGCAAGTCTGAAAAAGAAGGGAGCAGTCCCATGAATTGAGCGAGCTTGTTATTTTGTCTAGAAGAGGGGGAAAAAAGGCTGAAAGGGGGAGGAGGCCAGGCAGTTCGCGGGAAGGGAGGTGGCTGGAGGCATCGCCGGTCCCGAGCTGAGCAGAAGATGGGGCTGGGGGCAAACACCTCACCACTGATGTTGGGAGCCTCCAAGAGGTCCCGGCTATCCTGTCCTTGGCCTGCAGATAGATCATGGTCCTGTCCTGGTCTTTTCCCTGCCATGAGCGTTCTTTGCTCCCCTTGTATCCTCCAGGGATATTCCCAGGGACCATCTTCCCTCCCTGGTGCACTGTGGGCAGGCAGCGCCGGGACCCACCTCCTACCCACCAGCCCCCAAAATCACATTTCCTCACTCCAGGACCTCAGCTTTCTCACCCGGAGCAGAGCACCTCCCTGACTCCAG